TGGGAGATCATTGTCCCTCCGTGCGTTTTTCAACTACTGGCTTCAAGAACGAGACGGCGACGACTTCTCCGACATGCTGCACCGATCCTCCATGCTGTTCAAGATGTACACTACGGTCGGCTTCGTTCGCGTGGAAACCAACAGGCTGCGCTACATTACGCAGAACGGAGACAAGTTGCGATTCGATTTGTACGCAAACGTAAAGGAGGCCGCAGAAAGACGTTCAGGGCTCCACAACGTCGGCATTAAGTGCATCGTGCCTTCAAGCTTTACTGGCGGCAAGCGTTACATGAAGAAATGTTACTTCAACGCCATGGCAATTGTGCGCAAGTACGGGAAGCCATGTCTCTTCGTCACCATGACGTGCAATCCCAATTGGCCGGAGGACATCAGTCAACTCAAGCCCCATCAAACGTCGGGTAGTCCAAAAGTCTCATCCGATGGTGTTGGAAGCGGTTGTCGATGCTCTTGAGTGTGTAGAACATCGCCTTGCCAAGCATCATGTCTTCACTGAGCGGGTGTGCGAGTGCTTCGTTGCAGCGGCGCAGGTCCCGAAGCTGCTTGTCCATGAAATTGGCTTTGAATTGGTCAAACAGTGCTCGCGTGTTCGCTGGCAGGCAATGCATCAAGATGTTGGCAAACAGTTCGTACAGCTGTCCGTCCATGCAGTCCAACGTGGCTTGTCGAATACATACCACATACTCTTTGTCGTTTTCCAACAGGCCCATGGACAGTGCAGCTTCTTCGTACGTTGGATACAGAGTTCCGTGAACTGTGCGCATTTCTTCGAAGGAAGTTGGTCCATACTTATGGTAAAGCAGGGTTCGAATGTAGAGCCGCTCCTTTTGACGCGGACTGACCGAATCAATGCGGCCAATGACCTTGATGTGGTTCTTGCGTCCAACCCACAACTTGGTCGTTTGGTCAAATCGGAAGTACTGCGGGAAGTCCAAGTACAGGCAGTTCTTTGCAGGAACGCCGTCGATCCCGGTCAAGCCTTGCGCGCAAGCGAGGAAGAAGGAGATCAACCTGGTCTTTTGGTTCCTGGCAACGACCGATTCTGCGTCGTGGGTTTCGTCGTAGGTGCAATGCTGTTGATCTTTCTCGTGCACGGGCAATACTTCGACAGCGTGGGACATCCTTTGCAGGTCGTAGCAGCGGATGCGTGTGATAGCTTCGAGGAAGGTCACGTAGCGTCCTTCAACGTACTCTCGTGCTTCGTCAAGCATGGGCTGGCGTTCCCGGTCGGTGAAGACAGCGTACGTGATCCGATCGCTGCCCTTGCACACGTACTTGTACAACGGCCTTGATGCTTGTGCAAACCTCGATGTGGCAGTTGTACTTGTGCACCAAGTACGGGTTGGGTAGACACAGTACTGGTCTGCGGCCGTGTCGCGACGGTACTTGGCATACCCATCGACCCCCTCGGTTGTGGTAGCTTGCAGGGGCTGCAGAAAGCCTTTCTTGCACTTGCCAGTCTTGTCGGTGCAAGCCCTCGCACTTGGAATCGGCTGTCCATTGTCGTCGTATTGTGCATGCGTGCACGTATGGGTCATGAAGTACTTCACTGACTTGTGTAGCTGGGGTTCTTGATCTCGTCTGGTATGCGCGCGGATACCACAGAGTTGATGTCATCGACGGTCCTGAGCTTGTCTTGGTCTTCCATGATGAGGAGCATGTGCATATGCGGCAAGCCACGCTTTTGAAACTCTTCAACACGCACGGATGCGACAACCTTGCCAAGGACGTGTTTCTTGTGGATGTCGTCGTCGAAATACGTTAGCTTCGACTCAAACACACATGTGACATTTCATCGCGTTCAGCTCGAAGTTACCTCAACTCCACGAATTCGAAGTATTCCGAGACTTGGGCGAACGGCACTACTGATCAATCCAAGAAGCCGGCTTTATGTCATTGAAACATCGTACACGCGTGCAGCCCTTGACGATGTGTTGGCCACTGCTGCGACCATGACTGACGAGCACAGGTCCTTTGTGGCCACCGTTTTGGCCCAAATATACGATCACGCATCAGTCAAGGCGTACTTCCTATAAGGCGAAGGAGGCTCAGGAAAGTCGTACGTCTCTCAAATCCTGTTGGCAAAAGTGCGCGACAAAGGGGACATCGCGCTTGCTGTGGCATCGTCTGGGGTGGCAGCTTTGCTGCTTATGGGTGGCACAACGGCACGTTCACGATTCAAAATCCCCGTCACCAACCTCAACGACAAGTCCCTATACCACATTCCGAAGCAGTCGTCATTGGCAAAGATTATTCGACACATCAAGCTCATTGTATGGGACGAGGTCTCAATGATCCACAAGCATTCCTTGAAGGCCGTCGACCGTTCCCTTCGCGACATCATGGACAACCCCGCAGCCCTCTTTGGCGGCAAGGTTGTTGTTTTCTCGGGCGATTTCAAGCAAATCCTGCCAATCATTCCACGCGGCACACCATCGGCCACTAAGGAGGCCTCGTTCAGACGCAGCAGCATCTGGAACGACATGAAAATTGTCAAGCTGACAAAGAACATGCGGCTGCGTGGTGGATCAGACGACGCAAGTATCGAGGAATGGGCCAAGACGTTGGTTAATAGCGTGGACTTCGCATGTTCAGCCATACCTGCCGTTTATGACGTACCCCAGAGTCTCAAGGAAGCCATGTCGTCCAACGAGCGCGACGAATGGATCAAGGCCGAACTGCTCGAGCTCAAGCAGCTCTGAGACGTAGGGAATGGAAGATCGCCGACCTGACTGTCCGACGCAAGGCTATCGGCTCCCGCTGGACATACGCCAAGAAGACCAACTCCAACGGCGACGTTGTTTACGGCTCAAGCAAGCTGCCCTGGCCTGGTTCGAGCACTACCGCAAAATCCTCCTTAGCCTTGGCTTCCACCCAAACCAATTCGACCCATGCCTCTACATGCAAGGGAGAGGGAGAACCTGGAGATGGTGTGTACCTATGGTGACGACTTTCTCGTGATGACCACAATGGCCAACAATATTCTCGACAAAGATGAAGCTGAAGCGTCAAGGAGATGCAGCCTACTAGATAAACTACAACAAGGAGACGTAGTCCCTTACCATGAATCAAGAGGCATCCGCACGCAAAGTCCTCGAACGCTTTAGCATGGCCGACTCCCATAGCTACAACACGCCCGAAGTCGATGACCGCGAATACCTACGGCACGATGAGTCACAATCAGCAGCAGATGAGTCAACTTACCGCTCAATGGTAGGACCATCGATGTACCTGATGGTGTGCACCAGGCCCGACATCGCACACGCGGTGCGCCGCTGTCACGCCATCTCCACTACTCACGCGAGCCGCATCACGTCGGCACCAAACGTCTACTACGTTACGTCAAGGCCACCATCAACCATGGACTCACATACCGCGCATCCGAATGCAAACTTGTGGGATACAGCGACGCCAGCTGGGCAAACCGCCACGACGGCCGATCTACCGCCGGTTATGTCTGCTTCGTTGGCGCAGGCGCCGTTTCGCGGAAGTCCGCACGCCAGCGCATCGTCGCGCTGTCGACATGTGAGTTCGAGTACATCGACCTCCAAGGAAATTGTTTGGCTACGAGGATTACTACACGACATGGGAGTACTTCAAGAAATGCCGACCCTTACCTTGTGCGACAAAAAGTCCGCCATCGCAACGGTGGAAAGCAGCGGCGTCAGCGAACGGAGCAAGCACATCGACGTGCGCCTCCACTACGTCCGCCAACTCATCGAAGACAGTATCATCGAAGTCCGTCACGTCGGTACCGCCGACCAACTTGCCGACGTCTTGACCAAGGTGTCCACGAAGGACGCAATCATGAAGTTCAAGGACGCGGCGATGGATGTCTCACCAGCCGCCACCAATCCAAGTATTTCGTACCGAGTACTACCGGTAGTACGTAGATTGTGTGTGACAACGACGTATAACAAGCAAGTTATAACCTTCGATTCTTCAAACATAATTGACTGTGAATGAATACGTTGAGTCGGGCGACGGGCAATTCGAACGTCCACCGTGCGAGCAGCCGGTAGCATGCCCTCATCAAGATGGAGCTCGTGAGCGACCTCGTCTTACCGTCTTGTTTGTCGACTTGACCGGGTTGAGCATGCCAGCCGCGTCATGGACGGTGACATCCAGGAGACGGACGATGAGCAGCAAGAGTGCCGAGAAATCAACCAATCGCTGTGATCCCTCCGCGCATGCTCTCGAGCGACATCCCACACCCGCCGACACCACCACGACACCCGCCACGATTCTTGACACGAGGAAGACATGGTTTGTCGTGTCGGGGTCTTCGTCATGACAGGCACCACCACAACGATAGGGCGCAGAGCAATTAAAACATTTGCTGTGCAAGACATAATAATACAGTATGCGGTTGTGCCCTTATACTGTATTACGACATACAATAATACCACTCCGTCCAAAATCACTAACACGTTTGATGTTTGCCACATAGTGGTTTTATGACCAATCATTGGATTGTGTGAAATTTGTACCAATGATAAGAGCAGAATCTTGGCTATACGGACATACTAGGTGAGCCCGTTGCTCTGCCGCCGGTTGTTAATTGCCGGTTGGAGCAAGATATGTAGTTTTTGTTGCTGCTTATTATTGTTGTCATAGTTGAGCCTGGCATAGTTTTCAGACATTTTCTGTTTGTAGTATGCGTTTTCAAAACTCTCCTATCTGCGGTACAACGGGGTCCGGTATTTTGCGAGAAGATGGGAATCAGTCCTTTTGCGGTGTGGTCCACTGAAATAGTATAGGCTGCGGTATAAACCTTGCAGCTATGCTAAGACTAAGCCGTGCATCTAAACTCACCAACGCTGTGATCTTTGACGCGTGGCGTGTTAACTTGAAAGCAGTTAGATCCACCTTTCACGAACAGCCAATAGCGCCGCCGTTTGACACGGCAAGCCGGATATGTTAATGGAATTCAGGAACTCGGAGGGAAACTCCATGGCCGTGTCGTCAACATCCTCGCCTTCTTACTCGACTGAATCGACTGAGAGGCAAGTGAACATGGCAGAACAGTTTATCTTGCGCAGCACTTTGGCGTTGTATTCATCGACCCCGACGTTCTTGGGTGCCAAAATCGCTCGTTCAGACTGGTACTCCGGGGGGTTCGCCGGGTTATTGATGTCGCCATAGATTTGGTCGATGTACGCGTTCAGGTCTTGGTCGGTTTCCCAGTTCCTGGCAATTGCATCCTGCAGTCAGATCATGGGGATGGCCATCGAAGTAGATTCGTTGTCTTGCTCCATGGCGGCGTTGGCTATGTCCCGAGTGGCACGGTTCAAGTCGTCGAGGTCGCGGTCAACCGAGTTGTTGGGTTGCCGAGGTTCGTCGATGAATCTCGATGGCGTCCTGATCGTGTTTCTGTCACGTAGGGTCATCCTGTTGGTGCTCGCGGGTGCGTTGAAGTCGTCCATCGTCATCAGCTGCTTGTTGGGTCTCGTGATGACACGAAGGTAAGCGTTGACCTTCCTGGTGTGCCCAATTCGGATCTATTGAAGATTAACCTCGTTCGGTAGAGGTCGTCTGAGATCCGCCGTGGCAGTGGCGGTGGTGGCACCATAAAGTGACTTCGCTTGACTGGTGGCGCTGCGGCCGCGTTCGTTGAAGGCGCCCGTGTATGGCGTCGACGCGGATGCAGTGGCTGGGCGAGCGGACGTCTCCCCTTGAGTGAGCCCTCTTCATCGTCGTCGTCGTCGTCATCCACTGTGACTAAGTACTCGTCGATTGGTGTGCGTTCGCCAAGGAACTCGTTCTCGCGGAACTGGACTTGCACGCTGGTAACCATCTTCTTTTGCTCCAAGTCGTACAGCTTGTATGCCTTCTGGTGTTCTGCATACCCCATCATGACGCACTTGGTGGCCTTCGGGTCGAGTTTTTTCTTTTTGTTCTGGTTCATTTGCCATGTTGTAGGCAACGCAGTAGACGTCTCGTGAACGACGCCCCATTCCCCAAGTGCTTCGTTGAAGGCGTTGGAGGAGTACTCGGATCCACTGTTGGATCTGAAGACCTTGACCTTCCGTCCTGTTTGCGCCTTGGAACACGCCATGCCTTTCGCGAAGTTGTCTTGTTGGGTGGCGGCGTCGGTGGAGTTGACGAAGCGAACGACTTTCATGCCCTAACCGGCGTCAACGTATACTGTGTAGTACTTGCACCCACCGACTGACGTCGTTCTCATAGTGCATTTGGAGTCGGACACCCAGCACTCCCCTGGAAGGAACGAGCGGGTGTGTGTCTTTGTTGGCGTGATCTTGTTCTTCACGCAGCAGTCGCACTTCGTTGGTAGTTCGCGCAAGTTGGTGGGAGTTCCGAGTCCCATGGCGCCGCAACGGTTGACGGCGACGGTGGGTAAGTGTCCCACCCGTTGGTGCCAGATCTGCTACCTTGTTCTTAGGCGTTCTTGTCTTGTTGGGCTCGTGGGCTACAAGGTCCAACCGCTCGTGGGTGGCTGCTTGGTCGAGGATGTACATCTTATTATTGGTGTCCAGCGTGGAGGTGGCGATGGTCGTGGCGTCGTGCTTGATGCTGCACTTCATGGTGTCGAAAGTGAGTGAGAAGTTGATGTTAGCTCTCATCATGGCCGTAACGGATAGCAATGGACATGTTTTCGATGAGGAGCACGTCGTGCATGACAAGCGTTGCCCCTTCACTGGTGGTTACGGGCATCATACCCATCTTGGTTGCATGCGTCTTTGCGCTGTTGGCTACGACTACGGAGCGCTAATAGGTCCGTACGTCGGTCAGGTTCGTGGCATCTCCCGTCATGTGGGACGACGCGCTAGAGTCCACGAGGACTTGGTCTTGGAAGTCGATGGTGTGGAAGACAACCTCGCCTTGTTGAGCATCGTCGGAGTCTTCCACATCGAAGGTCGTGGACGTCCACACATCATCGTCTTGTGTATGGTAAGCCGTTTCTTGATGGCCTTGGTGGCGGCCTTGACTTCTATTGTGTAAGTGCTTCGTGTTCTTTTTGAACTTCGGCTTGCCGGCAGCTTTTTTTCGGCATTCCGATTCCCAGTGACCGATGTTGCCACACCAGTTGCATTCACTCTTCTTCTCGGGTTGTTCCCGCGCGGTCAGTGCGCATTCGTCGTTGTTGCCACTCCTGGGGTTGGTAAGAGTGCTGGATCGAACGGCGGCCTTGTACTCTAATTCCAGGATGACACGGACAGTGGCTTGGTTGTTGCCTTGAGCTCGAGGTAGCGCGTACACTTGGTTGCCCTCCGTCAACATCTTGATCGCAGGCATCTTGTCATCTCTCATCTCGTTTGGGCTCATAACATGTCGAGCTAGGACAAACAGGGCAGAGGGGAACGAGAGGCTGTGAAGCCAATTGAGAAGATTTCTTGGAGTAGATTACTGGTTGTTAAGGCTCTGATCTCTGTGTACATGAATGGCTCACATAACGTTAGCTTCCTGTGACTATTTTCTTAACTCGATGTGGAGTTCTCCAACATGTAATATCTACTAGTAAAGCATACTAGTATGTCTTTTTACCATGAACACACGAAATATATCGAATGTTCGGCAAACATATAGGTGGCATCCGAAATCAAACCGACAAATTTGAAGTCGGTGATTGGATAACCGACAAATTATTGAATTTTGATTGGTCGTTTATATTTTAGACAATCCGATTGGGCGATGTGGTTGTTGTGTGAGCAACATACAGGTATCGCTCACATTGAACATATACAGCTTGCTATTGGCTGAAAACACAGTCATATCGACATACTCCGGCTCAATCACCAAGACTTTGACACAGCATCTCGAAAACAACCATGACCTCGACTCAGCATCCCAAGAACAGAAATAAGTCGAGCAGAGCTCGACAAACAAGGTGACGAGTTTTGACTAGTACGAGTACAGAGAAGTAGCTGATGTGCTTGGTGTGTGGATGATGTACATCCATGACAAAATGATTAGAGAGGCCGCACGATCGTCCACCGACCCACATGGCATGTTCATCTCTGTAAATCCATAGGAACGCGGTGTTGCCAGGGCCACTGGACTGGGGCACGAAGCAGTTTGTGTTCCGGTGGTTGCGTTAAACAACCTCTTTAGTAACAACTTCACTGACACACCAAGTCGCACAATCGGAGTTATGATGGACAGTACATACGACATACTTATCGACCTTGCCAGTGAATCTATACATCACTCGGGGCTATTCATCGCTGAGCCGACACCACTTAAGCTCGCCAACGAGTCGTCCCCGGCACCGTGATCACGTTGATGTACTGTGCAGTCATCAGGCGAAATGGCCGTGCCACAGTTGGGACGTGTTGCTGATGGTAAACTCACGAAAGATCAGTACACTGCAGCACACTGACGTTGATGTGGCCACTAAAGCGAGGGGGTCGCGTCACTAACTCGAAATTGGTGACGCGACCCAAGAGCACGTCGATCACGCCACGCTCTTTTTTCCAACGTACCGCGCATCTTCATTATGGTGTCTTTAACTGTACGCTTTCTAGATTCCTCGTTGGAAATGCAAGCCATTGCAGCATCCCTGGAGGTGACAGGATTTCTGTCCCTATGCCTCCATGGGACACAGCAAGAACTGTGGTCAGGCCGCAAACGCAACTTTAGGGCGCGAATCTATGTTGCAGCCTCTGCACGCATTACACGTGGCACCCGGAGCCACGTCGTGTGCCACGTGTATTGCGTGCAGAGGCTGCTCCTCACGGTTCATGTCCTCACCTCGTCAGAGACTTGAAAAAAACCAACATATGACATTTGGTCTTTGTATTGAAAATGAAGAGTCATCTACCAATGAAAGGTACAAAGTATTGAACTTTTAACCAATAAGACTAATGTCGGATAGAATTGTCGTCCATACATAACGGAAATATGCGTCGGATGAAATATACCGGAAATATCCTGAACGTTAAGTGAAAAGCGGTGTAGTAACATGATGAATTGAGTTTTGGATTAACGTTTTAATTTTTAGACATTCCTCCGCGAGGGCCGATACTAGAACCACATATTACGGAACCGCTTCGCCAATTGTAACGCGCCTGCTCGACCAGGGGCGGTGTGTAATCTTCGGTTTTTTTACTTCGCTCAACGCTTCATACCTCGTGCTTCGACCGATCTTCTTCGAAGTTCGGTCCTCGTCTTCGTACGCGGCACTTGTTCTCTGGATTCCCCAGGGGAGGGACGGATAAATCCTTGCGGAAATAATCCGGGGAATCCGGGGATCGAACCCACGACCTTTGAGTTAAGAAACCGATGCTCTACCACCTGAGCTATTCCCCCCCCCTCTGTTTAACTTTGCTGTCGGAGTTAATTGCAAGTTACTACATATTTGTCGTCGTAGTTAAGCCTTGCATAGTTTTCAGACATTTTCTGTTTGTAGTATGCGTTTTTAATACTCTTCTATCTCCAATAGATCGGGTTTCGGTATTTTGAAGATGGGAATCAGTGTGTGTGCTTGTGGGGTCCACTGAAAGTAGGAATGGCTCCGGTAGAAACCTTGCAACTATGCTAAGACTAAGTTGCGCATCTAAACTCAGTAACACTGTGGTCTTTGACACGTTGGCTTGAAAGCAGTTAGCTCCACCTCGCAGGAACATCCAACAGCCTCTGTTTGACACGTGACGTGTATGTCAGATTGCCCCCCGATGCGGTCTGCATACTCCGAAACACCACCAACCCCATACTGCCTAATGTAGGACAGTTGAAGTCGGCTGGCCACGTCGGGGTCATCGTTGCTCCGAATCACTTGGATGCGCCAACTTAATGCGTTGCAACAACTCGCGGCGGGCTTTGCTCCACGCATCGGGT